CGCTCACAACTGTCTAACTCTAGCTTCAGGGGATCTGACACTCTTCTGGCCTCTGTGGAAACTAGGCATGCATGTAGTATACATATATGTGTCTGTGTGTATGTGTATTTTTATGTGTACACTCATACACATAAAAAATTTAATTAAAACAAAAGTGTTATAAAAGGAGACTGTCCAGACACCTGCGATCACAGTACTTGGAGGGAGACAGGAGGATCAGGAATTCAGAGCCACTTTGAACTTACTAGGCTTGAGGACAGCCTGGGCTACATGAGACCCTGTCTCAAAAGAAAGGGTGGCCAGGTGTGGTGACACACTACTTTAATCCCAGCACTTGGGAGCAGAGGTAGAAAGATCTTTGTGAGTTCCAGGACAGCCTGGTCTATATAGTGAGTTCCAGGCCAGCCTGGTTTATCTGGTGAGTTCCAGGCCAGCCTGGTCTACATAGTGAGTTCCAGGCCTGCCAGTGTTACATAGTGGACCCTGCTCAAAACATCAAAAACCTAAAAATAAAAGAGGACAGAGCTGTTTATTATGGACCTTTTACCAGAGAATTGGAAAGTCATCTTGGTCCCTGGGTGAGAATGCCTAAAGTTAGGGACACCTCCCCAAGAGCACCATCCCAAAGAATGAGACGGAGGCCAGGGGCTCTTAACCAAGTAGATGTAGATACACCTTGGAAGGTATAAAGTTCACCTTCGCTGTCAACATGACTGAACACCTACGGACACACACATCTGTGAGGGTGTCTCATGAGGTTTAACTGAAGAGCCGTGTTCACCTGTGTTCACCTCTCGCTGCTTCCTGACTGCCGCCATGCCTTCCCATATGATAGGCTGTGTCCCTCCTCAAATCCCGAACCAAAACAAACCCTTCTTTCGCACATCGCTTCTGGCTGTTTGGTCACAGCAGTGTAAAAACTGACTACCAGAGATGGGCACACTAGGAGAGAACAAAGAACTGCTCTCTCAGGCCTTGCTGAAGCTTCCCGAGGTGAGTGCGAAAACTCCTTCTGCCCAGGACAGTGCTTGGGCACAAGAGCTACGGCCCACCTTCTCAGGCCAACGGAAGGGCACGGTGCTACAGCTGCTTCAACTCTGCGGCCAGTTAAAGACTGTTCTGTGTGGCCCCCACGCTCAGGGTGGGCCTTTGAAATAGGAGATGGCTAAATGAGGTACTGCAGTTGCTTGGATTTACCATTGCTGATTTCCGCTTCAGCACTGTGGAGGTTAAAACCCTGCCACGAGCCCACCTTGGCTAACAGCTGCTCTTCTGGTTGTTTTGACCACGCCGTGACAAGCCATTTGAGGAACTCTTGCTGGCAGGGTTAGTAGTTCTGACAGTTTGGGGCTATTTGAGAATCTGCCTTCTCTTTCAATTCCTTGCCTATATGAGCTTCTAGAACAACGATATAGAATGCTAAATAGTATATCGGTTGGGGATGGGAGTCAGTTGCTTTCTTTCAACAAAGGAGGAACTGCCCTTGAGTCTGTCACTGATGATACTGGGGCCACATCTGGCTGGCAAAATGCTCACATCTAGAGCTCTGGAAGCAAAGCTGGCTCTCCACACTGAGGAGTCACACTTTCCTCTGTACCCCAGCAGACCCCAATTTAAAAAATGTTTCGTCCTCTTCTGGAAGCCTTAAGAATGTTTACTGCAAGGATATGTTCATTTTTCTCAGTTATTCCACAAGCCAAGACTTTGCTTCCAACATCTGTTTGAATTTTATGCCCAAATCCTTGCCACCCAAGATGTACCGACCAAATCAAACCTCCCTGGAGCCAGGCAATCCTGAACATGAGTCCAAGTGGGGGAGCCACCCCCTCCAACTGTCCCATGCTGAGTCTGTCGGGAAGCCAATGACTAGCCAACATGAGGCAGGATTCATCAACCAATGAGGCAGAAGTCGATCGTGTAGCATCTTCAAAACCAGGAACTGCAACTCTAAGGCTCTGAAGGGTTTCTCTGCTCAGCTTCAGGACAAGGCTCATGCTGATTTTCATGTAGACGGGACAAAAGGCTTTGAAATGATTCGCTGTATCCAATCAGCTTCACGACAGAGCGGAGTCTTCTCACTGGGTCTGAGTTGCCTGAGAGCAGACGGAATGGGTCATCGCTCGAGCATTTGGGAAGCAAGAACAAGAGTTCCTAACGCTGTAGGCTTGTAATCACAGCCACTCAGGAGGCTGAGGCAAGAGAATCCCAAGACCAAGGCCTGCCTGGGCTGCAGAGTGAGCTCAAAAGGAGCCTGGGCAACTTAGACCCTGTCTCAACATAAGATTTTTTTAAAAAAATTAAGGGTCTGGGAATGTAACTCAGCAATAAAGTTATTTGTCTAGCATGGCTAAGGTCCTAAGTCCAATCCCTAGTCCAATACTTAATACTTGGTATCACCAAGGCACCAGTGTCAGGTACTGTTCTCAGCAAATACTGATTTATGCAATCTTCATAACTGCCCTAGCTCAGTTTTGCCAAAAAGAAAACTGAAAGACAGAAAGGTTAAGTGACTTCTCCCAGAAAACACAACTCATAAATAGTGGAGCTAGGTTCAGCCCCAGGTACTGAGATTCTAAAATCTACATTCACCATGACCACCAGTTCCCAAACTTGCCTATCAGTCAGCTGGGAGCTTTAAAACACACCTAAAGATGATCTCATTGGTCTTGTGTGTGACATTAGCTCTGGCCACTTTTGGTTTTGGTATATGTATGTTGTATGTGTTCCTGTGTGTGCACATATATGTGCATGCATGTAAAGGCCAGAAGTCACCCAATTATTCCTACTTTTTGAGCAAAGTCTCTCACTGAACCTAGAGCTCACCCATTTCGCTAGACTGGCTGGCCAGCAAGCTCCAGGGACTTTCCTGTCTCTGCCTCCCCAGGGCTGGGATCACAGATGGATACTACTATGCCAGCTTTTTTACATGAGTGCTGGGGATCAAATTCAGGTCCTCATGCTTGCAAGGCAAGCGCTTTACAAACTGACCATCACTGGAGCCCCAGTTCTGATATTTTAAAGAGATTTTTCCGGTGACCCCAAACAAGTTCCAGAGAGCACTGCGCTCTACCCTGCCTCATTAGCCAGCAAATCTGATGAATGCAATTTGTTTGCTCCATGCTGAATGCTTTCAGGAATATAAAACACAAACCTAGAGACTAGGGCGGCAGAAGAATCTATCTCTGGGAAGAGAAGAGAAATTTCCAGTGTAGCTGAGTATTCTGAGCATGTTTGAAAGCTTGGGTCTCAAATCCAACTCAGAACTTGTGAGCTACAGATGGCCGAGCCTCCCTGGCTAGGTGCTCACACCCATTTCTTTCCTTTCGGGGCACTCGAAAGGGCATTACCCAGGTTCCCCTGGAGTTGGCTGTGACCAGGTGCCCCTCAGTCCTGGCCACATAGCCTGTCCTGTGTAGTCGTCCCACACGAGGACCCTGAGGTTCCAGGGGCTGAGAAATCTGTTATGAACTACCGTGTTTCCTGCACTTGCAGTTTTCTGCTCTTATAGAAACATGATTCGACACTTAATATTGTCCTACCTTGTTCCCTCAGCTCGTTTCATCAAATTGTCATCTTTGGATGGTACTGCTAGAATGCTTGATTTTAAAAACTGTTTAGGTTGCTGGTTTGAATTTCATTTGAAAAAAAAAAAATCACACATAAAATATACAACCACCCCCCGCAATTCTTTAGTAAACAATTTTAAAATTATTTTTATGTGTATGACTGTATTGCATACGTGAATGTAAGTGCAACTGTGTCCCGCAATGCCCTCAGAGGTGAGAAGAGGGCATCAGGTCTCCTAAATCTGGAGTTACAGATGATTGTTAACTGCCATGTGGGTGCTGGGAACTGGGGTCCTCCGTAAAAGCAGTCAGTGCTCTTAACTGCTGAACCATCTCTCCAGCCCTCAAAATAATGTTTTAAAATAAATTCTATATAATTTATTATCAGTAAATGTTTGTTATGTAGTTTTTATTTTATCCACTTATCTACATGCCAGGGTCATGTCTTGGGTGGAAAGGGGACATGGTGGTAGGAAACACAAGCTCTGCTCCACGACAACTCTGCCCAGTCTGCAGTTCTTTCACAGGGCAGCCTTCACTTTAGGACTCTTCATTATACACGGTGCTTAGACAGGGCCTCACCCTGTAGTCGAGGCTGGGTTGGAGCTATGTAGCCCATGCTAGCCTCCAATGCATAGTAATCCCCACGCTTAAGCCTCCCAAGTACTGGGATCAAGATGTGAGCCACCATGCTGGGTTTTTGGGGATCTGGCCCCAAAGAGACATTTATCCAGATCTGGGGGTGAGACCAACTAGAGGCATGTAGTGGGCAGAAGCCAGACAGGCCACTAAATACCCTACAGTGCTCAGGGCTGTTCCCCACAAAGAATTGTTGCCCCCCCCCCAATATCAAGTGCTGAGGTAGACAGACCTCACTTTAGACCCATTCTCAGATTTTGGTTTGTGTTGGCTGGAGACAGCTTCAGTGTTTAAAGAGACCACTGCGCAGGCTGCAGAGATGAAGGACGGGGCAGCTGGTCATACCTGGATGGGAAAGCAGTTGGGGAGGCAGGCAAAGAAAGGAAACATAGCTTAAATTCAAGGCCCCTAAGTCTTTCTTCTCAACTTTCTAACAACACTCCTGATTCCTACTTTAGACAACTGCTTGATCTGCTCTTAAAGGTGGTTTAAGAGGGCCAGTGAGATGGCTCAATGGGTAAAGGAGTTTGCTGACAAGCCTAAAGCCAGGGTTCAATCACTAGAACCCAAATGTGGAAGGAGAGAAGCAACTCCCTTAAGTTCTCTGATCACCACATGGATGCACACAGCCACACACACACACACACACACACACACACACACACACACATACATACATACTTGAAGAGAGCAAGAGGAGTGGGAGTCAAGAATAGCAATCTTGAGTCTCTGGACCTCTCTGGGTCTGCCTCCTCAGCTGCCAAAGGCTCCGAGATGCCACTTACACAAAGAAAGCCCTGCGAAGTGTGGCTCATGTCTGCACATCTTACAGATGCCTCTTCCCTCTTCAAGAGCCATGTATGATGTCTGACTGGTCACTTTCACCTGATGGCCAAAGTGATGGTTACAGAGTGATGACATATCACATCAAAACTTCCTTTAATCTGTCTTTTTAAATGCCTTACATTTTCCTCTAAAGAGATTTACCAAGCCTTTATTTACATCCCTAAAACCAATACTGAAGAGGTATCTGCCACAAGTTCACACTGTAGGATTATTAGTACCCCAAAGGAGCAGGAATGGCCCATTTTAACATTACATGCATTCAACTGAGAAACAGGTAGCAGATAAAAACTTAACTTGCCATTAGATGGTGGCCAGCACTGCCAGTAAGAGTCCCCTGTACAGGCCTACCCACCCCAGAAGCGGATTGAACAGGTCAGGAAGGGGTTCTCGGTGACAGATGATTCTTAGGGTTTAAAGCAACATTCAAAGAGTAAATATTTTAATTTTCTTCAAGAGTATTCTTAATGTCATAATATTTTAAATAGTCACACTAACAAGTTACAATTTCACAAAAATACGTGTACAGATGAAATGTTCTTAAAGTATTCACATCCACAGTTGGCGCAATTAGGAAAGTTAGGACACATAACAGGACAGTGGCAATACACAGAGGTCCTCAGGACAGTGGCAATACACAGAGGTCCTCACACTTGTGGTGAGGTTATCTAACATCTGAAACAGGCCAGGAGGACCACAGAGAAGCTAAGCTTTGAACCCTACAAAACCTCTCCATGAAAAAGCAGGGAGTCCCATGGGACCAGCAGGTTACACAAATGAGAGGACAAATCCAACCAGAGGTTGGCAGCTGCCATTTCATATATGCAAAGTAGACGTGAGGCAGCAGAGTAAACATCTTTGTGAGGGGAGGGGTGTCAGGTGTGACAGAATAGCTGACAACACACTCATAGCTAACACGTGGCAGATAGGCAGTGCTGGACCCAAGGGCCCAGTAGTGGTGGTGGTGGGAAGAGGCCAAGATAGGCCTGCGACGCCTATGCTTACAGAAACTGCTAAAATTCAAATACAAAATGCTGAGTCAGATTTCTCAAGCCCAAAGAAGCCTATCGGGGTAGTGCATGGGAATGTATTTTTCTGTCTCTGAAAGGAAAATAATTTCTGAGCAACACTGGTCAACTTGGAACCATGCCTGTAATTCTCTCTTAAAGAGCCAGTGTGCCCAGCATGATCCTGAAAATGTCTAGATAAAGTAGGTTGGTACATGACATACTAGTGTTCTCGTAAGAATAGTGACTGAAAACTCCAGTAAACCAAGATTTCCTGATAGCAAAGAAAACAAGCTTCTACATACTAACCTAAGACTCAAACATGCTTATTTGATTGACTGTATTTGATGCCAAGTGGTATGGCCAGCTGAAGGGTTTGCAGATATGAGATAATCACCTCCTGTTCACTCAGTACTTTCAAGGAACTTTAAAACTCTGTATTCCTGATGGGATGTGAAGGGAGGCGAAGAGTGTCGCCCCTCCCCCCAGTCTGAGGGAACTGTACTCCATACAGGCTGACATGAAGCAGAACAGTTTAAGTCTCTCAAGCAACTTCTCACCTATACCACTTAAGACAATGGCTAACCCTAACACATTGTGCACAGGGTAGATTTCTAACTCTACTTGGCCAGTGGTCTCTCCCACTGCTGAGAACACATAGGTGCCAAAGGATGTGAGTCATAGGACACCCAGGGAGGACTATTGATGCTGGAGAGGCGCCACTGGAGCGAATGCAGATATTTGACCTCTTCTGAAGCTGAGCAAGGTGCCAACCCACAACACAGGTCTAAGAGGAGATGGCTGAAAGGCAGCACCCCAGACACAGGCAGGAGACAGACAGCGCTGGGCTCCGCCACTCCTACCAGGCATGCTGCCTCATGAATTGGTTTTTTCTTTAAGTGACTTATGCATTATAAAAATATTAATGACAAATACATGTATTCCAAGGGGGAATCCAAATTTAATAGCTAAGTTTCATTAAAATGAAAGCCTACTGCTCTGATATCTGTTTTCTCTTTCCTAAAAGGAAAATGCTCCATGAATGTTCCACTTGTAAAGTCAGCAATGAAGGGACAGACAGGAAAGGAAAGAGTGGGGGCTCCAAGGCAGAAAGACTGCAGTGGCCTTTATTGGCTTCCCAGTGTGTAACACAAGGCTGTCATCCACATCAGCAATGCTGCTGGGGTCTGAACCTGCTGGGTGATCTTGAACAGGCTTGCCTGACTCCTGGAGGAGTCGCCGTAAGAACCCCAGCAGCAACAAGGAGACATGAGCATTCCATTCCAGTTGGAAGTATTAACCCAGATTCAACCACACAGCCATGAGGCCAGTTCAGACATCCAGAGAGCTAAACTTGCCCACGCTGCCGTAGTGTGATGTGGCCACAGTGCTTCCATGCAATGCTGTTCCGATGTGATGCTGCCCACCAGCCTGATACCATAGGGCTGGGCACTCCACTGAATGCTAGAGCACATGCCGTTATTCACACACATGCTCACATGACCTAATCACCCAGAAATTCCCATGAGCCTTGTTGTAAGAAACCCCATCACTTACAGAGGGAACACTTAGGCCAAGTGAGGCGAGATGTCTTGGCCAAGGCAAGCCACCTGCTTGGTAACTGCAGATGTGGCAACTGTGTCATCACAAAAGTCCGAAGAGACATATTTTAAAAGAAAACACAATAGATATGTAACTTCAACGTGTTCAAATACAGACAGGTCCTCGCAAACGACACAGCATGACAAGCATCATGCGAGCCAACCATGAGCAGACCTGGAGACTGAATCAGTCAGTACCCACGGCCAGGTGCAGATGGCAGAACAGAGAAAGAGTGAGACGCACCACAGACACTTGTGTAAGTGGGCCTTACAAACCTAACTGGTTAAAAGACAAAGATTACATGTAGCTCCAAGGGCCCAGAAGAGGCTCATGGCTTCACCCATGCCACGTCTCCTTGAACCCAAGGGTAACTACGGAGTCAGGAAACTTTAGATGAAGTCTCATCAGGTGTGGCAGGCAGTCATACACAGCCTGTTTCAGTAGGGCAGACAGAGGCCAGCCTACCATGGCAATAAACATGTTACTGCTATAGTGTCTGCTCAGGGCCACACCAAGCCTGGGCTCCATTTAACAGGACAGAGCAGCAAATGGTTCCATGATGCCCAAACAGGGGCTACTCTGAAAATTGTCCTTTTAAGTTTCTTAGAAAAAATATGAATTAAAGTTATTTAAATGCTACATTAACACTATTCTCATAAATTCTAAAGTTTGGGTTTGGAGTTGCATTGCTTTCCCGTTCAGAAAATTTAGACGAAACAACCTTCTCTTCAGTCTCTCACCTGCAAACTGTAAACAGCTATGGGGTCCAAATTCACCTTGGCACCATCCCACCACGTCACAAACTAAAAAGATCGTGGAACTTTCAACAGTGGAAGAGTACAAAATCCCCGTCTCTTGCTGTAGGGTTTTTTTTGTGTGTCTTTTTGAGACAGGGTCTCTCTGTTGCCCCAGCTGACCTGGAACTTTCTGTGTAGACCAGGATGGCCTCGAACTCATAGAGATCCGCCTGCCTCTGCCACTGCCTCCTGAGTGCTGGGACTAAAGGCATGCGCCACCATGCCAGGCTCTACTCTCTAGGCACGTATTGCAAACAACTCCCCTCTCCCTCCTTAACACTGAGTGCTACTAACACAATCAATTTTGATTTCTTATATATCTTGGGGTAAATCATAGTATTGCATCAATGAATATGCTCTAAGAAAAGCAAAATATTCATGGAAGCATTCAACAATTTTACCTTTAAATAAAAATATTTTATTCATTCCTGACAGGTTATCAAAATGTACATTATTAACCAAGTAAAAACTGTACTTTGAATTCATTGACTAGGACATATTTGGAGTATTTTTATTTAATTTTCAAAGAATAAAGCTCACTTCTGGTCTTCCTTTCCACACATTCCTACCTGGTTTGCATGATACCTACTTAAAATGAACACATGAATGATGAGGTGGCCCAGGGCACTACAGAAAGCATGTTCACTTAGGCTTAAAATAAAGGAAGCCATTACATTTAGGTTACTTTCCTTTGCCAGAAACTTTCAGAAACTTTTACTCCTCTTCCTATTTATATATCTCTGTAAATGACATAAAGATATAGCATGACTTGAGTTCACACACACACACACACACACACACACACACACACACACACACACACACGATAAAGTGCAGCGCTGCGGATGGCATCTGTGATGTTCATTACTCGCTCCAGCCTGCAGCAGGCCCTCCAGGTGAACAGAAAGCATGCTGTGCTCAGGGCATGAACACTCGGTGGTCAGCAGAGCAGGCCACACTTGGTGGTTGGCACAGCAGGCCAGGCCTGGCTCAGCCTTCACATGGGAAACTCCTGCTGCTAAGCTCCCCTGTGGCTTCTCTACCCAAGAGAAGTCTTGAAACTATGAGCTGAACAATCAACTCCCCCAAACTACAAGGGTGCTCCCCAGTGCTTAAGAGTGCTCTAATTGTCTAATCGGTCTTTTGGGTGTTTTTCAGCACTCAGCTCTGTAAAGGGGGTTTGGGTTTCTGATGATACCTTGTGGATAACAAGTACAAATTACAGTCACTTTAACAAAAGTAAGCATCACACTTGGCAGCAAATGCTGTAACAACTTGACACCAGCCACCAAACATTTCTGTAGGCAAGCACCAAACTAGCCCTAAAAACATCACAAGGTTTTGGTTGCATGTTGCTTTGCCACTGTTATTTAACTAGAAGCTGCTTTTGTTCCTGAGATGAGCACATGAATGAAGCGTGTTCTCTGTGAGACCATGTGGAACACGAGGTCCCTTATCGTCACCACTCTGCAGTTGCACTGGACGCATCAATCATCCCCGTGACGCCACTTCTGGGATTCGTCCTGCCGAACATCTGGTCTAATTTGGTTTCTCATGCCACCTAACACGTTCGATGTTGCTTCTGTGGCGACAATTAGGGGTCTGACCACAGCTGGTGGGATCTGGCGTAGGACTTCACCCACGGCACCAGTCACCCCTCTGCTCTCGTGTTCTCGAGCCGCCGTTTCATAAATGGTCTGAGCTGTGTCTGCAATTCCCTGCACAGAGGGTGGGAGGCAGTGAGAGAGAAGAGGAAATCACAGAACAGAAAAGCAAATTATCCCATACTACATATTTTAAATGCAGTTAACCAATGTCTTCAACTAGACCAAAATAAAAACTAGCAAAACAAAGAAAAAACAACCCCCAAACCCCAAACCAGCAACAAAAACCAAAAACCAACCACTTTTGAAACTAAATTATTTTATGACAAAATTGTAACCATAAAGGAAAGCACTACTTGTTAAGATTTAGCATTTTACAGGCTGGAGAGATGGTTCAGCGGTTAAGAGCAATGGCTGCTCTTGCGGAGGACACAGGTTCAGTTCCCAGCACCCACATGGCAGCTAACAACCATCTATAACTCCAGTTCCAAGAGATCTGACGCCCTCTTCTGACCTCCATGGGCACTGCAGGACATGGGTGTACTTACATACATACAGGCAATACATTCATACACATGAAAAATAAAGATTTTGCATTTCACTGTGACAGCAGTGTGCAGAAAATGCAGTCGAACTGTAGTTCGAAGCAAGGAAGCTCAAAGAAATAGACAGCGATCTAAAGGTAATTTTTCTGCCCTAATTAATCCCTCCAGTTCACTCCAAACCACTGCAAATGGCTTCATGAACAGACGCTCTTGTGCTAGGACTGTGAGGAGGGCCCCTTGGATGCAACATAAGAAAGCTTAATTACACTAAGCTCTAGGAAACCACTTGCTTTGCTTTAAATTGTTGGCTATGTATTAGGAATGATAACCAGAACATTCAATTAAGATAAAAAGCCAAAAAGAACATTTTATTGGATTAAGCAGGAAACTATGAGAACGTGAAGTGGGAAGCTTCCGAACAGTCAAGATCCAAGCTCTGTAGCACTTGCCTTTCTCGTTCACTACTGAGCATTATGACCACCAGGACTTCTGGTTCTAGCTGAACACAGGGCAGCTATTGTAGGCTGAACGTGCACATGTGTAGGACAGCCACAGTGGTAAAATACCGTATGAATTCTGAATATCTGCCATTTATCTAACTCTAAAATTTCCAGGGAATCTGAGACCCAGTTCCTCTCTGACAGTGTCAGGGATGGGTACAAAGAAAAGACACTCTCAGATCTCAAGGGAAATCAAAAGACCTGTCCCAACTCAGAATCTAGTTATCACTCTGATAAGCTAACATAACATGGTTCCTACCTAGGGAATGCACAAAAACAACAGCTTGGGGCAAGCATGCATACACATACAAAGTCCAGCAGAACTAAGACCTATAAGTAGTATTTTAAAACTATCTAAAGGGCTGGAGAGATGGCTCAGTTGGTAAAGTGCCTGCCACGTGACAGCTGATTTCAATAGTCAATTTGGGAGCATCCGGAATCACCCGGGAAGAGAGTCCCAATGAGGGACTGTCTGGATTAGATGGGCCTCTGCGTTTGTCTGTGGGGGATTCTCTTGGTTACTTTAATTGATGTGGGAAGAAGACCCATCTTAATTGAGGGCGAGGAACTTGGACTGTATCAAGTGGAGAAGGCGAGCTGGGCTCAGCAAGCATGCGCTTACTGCGCTCAGTTTCTGACTGTGATATAAGCAGCTGCCTCAAGCTCCTGCCACACCACGATGGACTGGGCTGTGAAGTCTGAGTTGAGCTCAATTCTCTTTACCTTAAATTGCTTTGGTCAGACTGCTTTATCACAGCAAAAGGAAAGAAACTAAGATACCATGTAAGCATAAGGGTTTAGATCCCCATCATCCACAAAAAAGTTTAGATCCCCATCATCCACAAAAAAGCTGGGCGTGGAGGCATATGACTTTACAGTCATATAAAGCATGGTGGGGAATGTTGGAGACAGGATTCCTGAAGCTCATTAGCCTGTCAGCCTAGCTAAACTGGTGAGCTCCAGTTTCAGTGATAGACCCTATCTCAAAAGTATGGCAACCAAGGAAGACACCTGATGCCGACTCTAGCCACGCCCCCATCACTCACATGCATAGACCCAGAGAGAAAGAGAGACAGAGAGAGCCCTATTTAAGCCAGGTTCCAGGTCAGCCTGAGCTACATAGCAAGTAAAAAGAAGGGTGAAGAAGGGAGAGAAGGAAGAGGAGAGAGGGAAAGAAAAAACCCTAACCAAGCCAGGTTCCAGGCTAGCCTGAGCTACACATCAAGCTCTGGTCTCAAACAAACAACCTCCCTATAGGGAGCAGCCAGAGATACCATGAGCACAGGGAACACAGTGAACCACTCACACACTCCCCTGTATCACCTGCCCAACCCCACAGCAATCCTCAGGTATTGGCTCACTGTAGCATGAAGACTAACAGGATTAAAGAAGGAAACTTGCCCGGCGTGGTGGCGCATGCCTGTAGTTCCAGCACTCGGGAGGCAGAGGCAGGCGGATCTCTGTGAGTTCAAGGCCAGCTGGGGCTACAGGGAGACCTTGTCTCAAAAAGACCAAAAAAAAAAAAAAAAAAAAAAGGAAATTCAAACTCCCAGCCCTCAATAAGCCCTGTGACCTTGGCTGGCTTAGATGGGGAACTGTGATGTTGCCTGCTCCGTGGTGTTTGCTAGAAATATGTCGTTACAGAGCTTGACACTGTCTAGAAGACAGTAAGATAGCCAATGAGTAGCTTCTAGCCACAGTTACTGCCCAAACCTGACTGCCACCAAGCAGAGCAGCAGGACACAGGGGTCAGCAAACTTCTGTAAAAGGCCAGATTAAAGGGGTTTGGGTGCTACATTCTTTTTTTAAAGTAATACTTTAACTGCTACTAGCTCAAAGGCTCATACAAAAGCAGGCACTGCCAGGTGTGAGCACGGCTCTTGGCATCCTTGCCCTTTTAGAGGACACCTCTCAGGGCCTCTGTTTAAAAGCAGACCTGGATCCGCACTCACTCACCCCTTCTTCCTTTGTTCTTCAACTTCACAGAGAAAACTCACTTCAGCCCCAATTCTCTGGGACCCCAGAAGTTACTTCTGTCCAGTGAAGGACTGCTACACCCTTCCAACTGTTGTCGGAGTATGATTAGAAAACACTTCCAACGAAATCCTAAAGCTAATCATAAGTAAAATGACTACAAACTTCAGTATACCAAGCAATGTCAAAAAGAAGTCAGTGACTCTGAAGATACTCAAAGGCACCGGGCTTCACTGACACAGCCGCCAGAGAGCAACTCAGTGATGCTTAGTAATGTTAAGGGGCCAGGAGATGGCTCACTGGGTAAAGGCACCTTCGGCCAGGCCTGACAGACAACCTGAGCTCAATCCCTGGGAAGCACATGGTAGAAAATGAACTCCCACAAGTTGGTCCTCTGACTTCCACATGCACACTGAGGAAGTACCCTGCCTTCCCCACCGCCACCAAAATACCCTCAATGAGACTTCTTACACAAGTGAGCAAAGACACATCTAGACAACATCTCCTGTGGCCATGTTTTATGGGGAGATAGAAGCTAAATGCCCACCAACAGGAAAGCAATAAATCATGTCAAATGCCTCTAATGAGATACTGTAAAACCATCTAAATTACATGTGTCTATGTGGATACCTGGAAAGAAACAAGCTGCAGAATGATATACACATTTCCTTTATATAAACTTAAAATATAAACCCTGATACATTCTGCTTATGAGTACTTGAGTAATCAAGCTATGAAATCACGGAAGGCTTGGGAGTGAGGCCAAGGTGGGGATTCACCTGAATAGTTTTATTTCTTAAACCTGAGGAAAAGAGGAGTGAAGTGTGCAACCTAGCCCTTCTCTCACTTCCCACACGTGTCACATGTCGCTGTTACGCTCCCATTCCACTCCCAGAGGTTCCTCCCCAGATCAGCAGATGCTCTCTGGGTGGAAGATGGGAAAGCAGCACAGGGTTCTGAGGGTCCACATACCTCTCTCACAACACTGTAGGCCTTGGCCACACCTTCCCTCAGGTCTACTGGCTGGTGGGCTAAGCGGTGATGAGGAAACCGTTTAGCCTTCTTGGGCTCAATGGGAAGGGTACCAGGAGACACCATGTCGTAAGCAGTTTCTGCTGCTGCCTGGGACATTGTCAGAAGGAAGATAGGAATTAGAAGACAGTCTGGAGTTGGACACAAACGTGCAGCAGTGTGCTCCTATAGGAGTGAAGGAAACGCATATGCTGATAGACACTCAATACTTGAATGCTTCGTATCAGGAGTTCATGAGTCGTAACACAACTACCAGGAGACACCATGTCGTAAGCAGTTTCTGCTGCTGCCTGGGACATTGTCAGAAGGAAGATAGGAATTAGAAGACAGTCTGGAGTTGGACACAAACGTGCAGCAGTGTGCTCCTATAGGAGTGAAGGAAACGCATATGCTGACAGACACTCAATGCTTGAATGCTTCGTATCAGGAGTTCATGAGTCGTAACACAAATGTGGAAGGGAAGCTCAAAACGCACCTCAAGTGAGTTGACTCAGTCTCTTCCTCTCACTACTGAGGGCACCACCATTCCCATGTTATTCTGGAAGACTTACTACTTAACAGAACAAATTTTAACATTTTTACTGTTCTTATTTCTTTTTTGGTTTTAGTATTTTGACAGAGTCCCACTACATAGGCCTGGCTGGGCTAGAATGTGCTATGTAGACCAGGTTGGTCTTGAAGTCACAGAGATCCACCTGCCTCTACCTCCAGAATGCTGGATTAAAGATGTGTGCTACCATGCACAGATAGCATATTTATTGTTAATCTATTACAAATTCTATTTAGCTGCAATCCTTTTATACAGACTGGTGAAATAAATCCCCCCTAATTTAATGGTTATTGATAGGTAAAAAGTAGCCATATGACGAATAGTGTTTATCAAAAGAAAGCAGAGTTTATTAGCAAAGCAACACATGGGACAGATTCCCTTCCAGGCAGGTGTGTCTACCCCTGGTCATGAGCTGGGGTCTTTTAAAAAGGGGGGCTTTTATTTCCTGTAGAAGGTGGGGAAGATGTATTTTTTTTTTTTAAGTTAGGGGGTAGGGGAGTGGGAGAAATCCACTGTTAAAACCAACTCTCTTTAGAGATCAAAGGGGAAGCCTGCTGTGTTAGCTAAACAGTAGAGAAAAGTCTGCTTCTCTTGACTTCAAAGACCAAGGTACTTATCAGCTCCATTCCCTTTTCTCAGGAACATGAGAAGTCCTTGAGGCCCTGTTGGTGAGGGGGCAGGGCTATCTGAACCTTGACAGTTATTACATTCTGAAATATGCAAACAAATTTGACATGTATTCTACAACTTTGTTAACTAATTTAGTACTAGCTATCTAAGCTACTGATAGAGGACCAATGTTGGCAGGGCATGGAGGCATAGACCTGTAAGCCTGGCATCTGGGAGGCAGGGGATTCCATGGCTGAAGACAGCCTGGGCTAGACAGCAAGACCCTGTCTCAGACAAACTAACAAAAAATAGGTATGATATTAAATCATTACAAACCAAATGTTTACCCTCTGCATTATCCATATTAGAGTACTATTTAAAAGCAGCCCCATCATTTTGCAGGGCTCTCATCTGTCCAGAGGTGGCAGCAGGACTAGTACCTGTATGGTCTGCACCATTCTGTTTGTGAGCTCTAGAGCAGCCATTGCAGTTGAGGTGCCAAAGGAGGCAGCACCTCTCTGGAATCCTCTGACGATGCGGCCATCTTTCCGGTACTGCTCTATTGGTAGCCAGACCAAGTCCTTCAGGCCTTGCACTAGAACAGTCCACAGAAATTTGAATGAGTGCTGGGGTTGAGAGCAGTTCAACCCTGGGTGGAGGTCTTGACCCTGAAACTAGGGGCAAGTTTTATATGTATGAATATAGAGAGATTTTTCTGGAAAAATGTTCTTCACATAGACTCTCAAGGACATCTGCAACCCCAAGAGGATCTTAGAAGTCAACTCACCTAACTGAACCAGTGAATGCATAGGCCCCACACCACCCAGGATTCCCGGCAGCTGGTTCTTCTTAATGTCGTTGAGCCACTCGGTGATTGCATATGAGACTAATTTGTCAACACCTAGCAAACTAGAGTAAATGACCATTAGTACAAAGAAGAAATAAAGTTATATACTTAGATATAAACTTTTTTTCTACTTAAAATTCACATATTGCCGGGCGTGGTGGTACATGCCTTTAATCCCAGCACTCAGGAGGCAGAGGCAGGTGGATCTCTGCGAGTTCAAGGCCAGCCTGGTCTACATAGCGAGTTCCAGGACAGTTGGGGCTACAGGGAGACCCTGTCTCAAAAAAGACCAAAAAAATAAAAATAAAAAAAATTTATATATTACAAGCACATATTTCAAGCTCCAAAAATAGCTAAATATTTTTAAATCATAGAGGAATATAAATCAGCCACTAAATTTCTCTATCCTCGCTCCCTCTCTTCTCATCTCACTCTTGAGTATATTGGATAAACAGACAGACAGATAAGAGTCCAATCACAAGGTTAACAGTGTCCACGGAGCTTCAATACTATGCGTATCCTGTTTTCCACTGTTCTTGGTTCCTGAACATTCCTCTGGTGTAAGTTAACACAACTAATGAGAACCAAGCCTAGTGAGCTTCCATTCTTTAACTACAGATTTTTAAAAAATAAATACTACTCTATTCCAACTACTTCTACTTCCTCACAATAAAAATAACCCTCAAGTCAGTGAGGGTCCCTACAAATGCTCTCTCTGCAGACACTAGGCTAGTGTGTCTGCTTGCTAAGGCTCCACCTTTACTAGAAACCAGCTCTGGGGACTCTCCTGAGTCTCATGCATCAATCCACTCACCCATGCCGATAGAAGAGCCTCTTCAGCTTTAGCTCAGAGCAGTTCAACTGGGCCAAGCCGATCAAAATCCCAGCCAAAGTGCCCTGAAATATGAAAAGTGGACTATTAGTCTGTAAACTAAGGAGAGACCCAGCATTTAACACAGCTGTTACTGGGTAAGGTTCAAGCCATATTCATTAATAAAGACAAACATTTGAAATTTTTAAAATATACTGTTAATGCTCAGTATGTGCCAAATGACACTCACAGTGCTTAATGGTATTTATTTTAAAGGGTTGTACTTCATGCCAAACATACCCGCACATATAAACTATGACACAGCCAAGGTCTTTATTACTTTTTTAATCTGTCTATTAGAAAAAAAAAGAGAGAGATGGAGTTGGCAAGATGGCTCAGAGAATGAAGGGGCCTAACTACCTGAATTTGATCCCCCAGGTCCATATGGTAGGAGGAGAAAACTGACTCCCACAAGTTGTCCCCTGACCTCCACACATGCACTATAGCACATACATACACACACCCCCACATAATAAATATAAAACATAATTTTTTTAAAAAAGAAAAATGATGCACGACATGGGTACACTTAACACATGCAGGTAATACACTTATAAAATAAAAATAAGAAAAAAAAATTCTGTAGAGCATGTCTGTGCAGTTTCCAAACCTGATCCATTGACACGTGCTTGCCATGGTAATCGAGTCGAATAGGGACTTCTGATGTGAATCTGAACTCTCTGTTGGCAAATAAAGGGGGTTATTTATGTTAAAAAAAAAAAACTAATCATAAAATTAGATATAAGTTGTTAAACTGGAGAATAAAAACCACAAACTATGTGCACATCTTATGTCCTAAATAAAATACGAGGTCTTTTTGCTCTACCTCTCCTTAAGGCAACATGACCACTAAACAAGATGTTAGCCATATGATAAATTATATCTACTAAATTTAAATGTTATCACAAAAAAATTTCTCATGGTTTATGAAATGTTTATTCTCAGGAAAAACATTGTTCTCAATTCAAACAGAAGACAAATTGATAACGTGGCCTTCGAACTTCAGCCAACCAATATAATCACTGCTAAGAGATAAGAAGGAGCAAGGCCTCTCCAGCTCTCCATGAGGAAGTAGGCTGTGCAGACCCCAGCTCTACCACTGGATGGGATGCGACTCCAGTCGAGTAACGTCAACTTTCTGAGCCTCAAGTCTTCATTATTGGAAAGATGAAGCCTACACTGGCCAAGTTTGGGGGAAATTCTTGAAATTGTATAGGATTCATATACTAATACTGGGAAGTCTAGGCATGAAATTAAAAAGTATACATTGGTGACATACAGCCACCAAAATGATCTGCTCCAAGACTGACTGCAAACTGAATGCTCAGAAACAATTTTCCCCCACAGAATTAATGTCAGCAGCAACACCTAAGGTCTAATCTCACAACCTAGAAGGAAAGACAGAGAAGCTAAGGACACTAGATATGAAAGGGGAGAGATACAGAAAGTCAGGGAGGTTTCGCCCTTTGACCCTTCTTTTTCTAGAAATGCCAAGACTCTTATCTCTACCAACAAGGGTCAGGGAAAGAAGACAGAAAGAGTGAACAGGTCGGCCAAGGAGGAAGACTGCAGAGTGGGGCCTGCTGGCCATGCGGAGGAGCAGAACCACAGCAGGCTTCAGAGTGTTCAGCTGTCTACAGAAACAGCAGAGGAAAGAAAGATCTGGCAAGGACGAGGAAAAGCAGACTAAGAAGGGGGCAGAAGGGAAAGGCAGGAATGCTAAAGCTGAGGTGTGGAAAGGGGTCAATGGACAAGCTTGCATGGGGATCACACAGCACACCAGCAAGTGGAAGACGGGGCAGAGACACAGGAAAGGAGACAGCCAGGAGAGAAAGAACTGCCCCAAACTCAATACGCAGACGAATCCTCGATAGGAATTACTATGTGCAAACAAGGGGTGCAAGGTCGGGGTCGGGGAATACATGCAAACAAACAACACAAATTGGCATGGCAATGTAAACGATAACCCATGTCACTTCTGATTACCAGAATACAAACATATTACAGAGTCATCTTCAAAGCCCCACAAGCCTCATTTGTTACCAAAATAAGTGTACGTACCGAAAAAATACAGGTTGGTCACTAAATGAACCTTCCTCAGCTGAGAAGTCCTTTTCCTCCAGTCCATCAGCCCCATCCATTGAATTGGCACTATGGTTTGAGGAAGGTTGTTTTGGCCCAGGGAAAGAAACAACTAGATTGGGCTCCTTTGAGGTACTCAAATGCCTTGGCAAACTGCAGGTGACGTCAGCTCCAGGGGACTTTTTAACTGAAAATGTAATGTGCACATCCAAAGTTAGCTGTGCTTCTTTACAGGAACCATATAAGTCAATACTGACTTAATCTGTTTCACTGAATAAACACTTCCTGTCACAGAAAAAAAAAATCTACTTCCACCATTTAAATTATTACTTTGATATAAACACATCTGCATGAATTAGCAATAAAAATAAACACAGAACACACATATACAAATGGGAATAAATACTATAAATATATTTTCAAAAATAACACATAGGGATCAAAATCAAAGTATATATAGCCTGTTCTAATTTAACAACAGTTTGACTTTAAATTTTCCAAACTCACAATGGAGTGAAAGAACATGTGCACTCAGTAGAAACTGTACTCTGTGAGTTCTGATCTTTCCCTAGCAGTACACATCCCCCTCTTCTGGTGATGCTGGGTAGTCACAGCCAGCCACCGCTCCGTGAGCCCTATGGTCTAGAGGAGAAACAGCCAATACTCTACAATACACGTGTTGCTGAGCCCTGGCATTCAGTGGGCTCCACATACTGGACTTAATTTCTGACTTCTGTTATGCAGCTTCTACTGGCATTCTGAGGATGCAACCCCATCCGAAGTGGAGGGTGTCTGTACTTGTTAGAGAATCTTCAGGCTGTGCCTGTCAAATACCTTCTGGATCTGGGGTCAGCAGAAGCTCCACCTCTGTAGACAGACTTGTAAAGAAATCCTTGAGGAAGAACAGGGCGTCCTAGAATTAAAAGACGTCACTGTAACTAAAAGATGAAAGGCTGGTGACCAAAGCTTCAAGTCTTGCCCATCACTCACTACTACACAGCCATCCCTTACTTCTGAGTCCTCCTTTGTGTCAGACATTACTGCCATTCCTCTCTCTCTTTCACATACACACATTAATTTTTACAACTCTATGAAGATTAACATATAGATGCAAACACTGTAAAAAGGAGAAACTGAAAATTAAACAGCTAGGAATAATTCCTACACAAAGCCTTTTTTTTCCTTAGAATCAGAACCTTCTGATTCTTTTTTTTGGTAGCCCCAGCTGTCCTGGAACTCACTATGTAGACCAGGCTGGCCTCTAACTCACAGAGATCTGCCTGCCTCTGCCTCCCAAGTGCTGGGATTAAAAGTGTGCGCCATCATGCCTGGCAAGAATCAGAACCTTCTCATTCTTATTTGGCACAAGGTCTCATTCTAAACCAACAGTGGTTTATCACTAGTAACAGCAGCTAGCACAGCTTGGCTACTTACTATGTACCATTAAAGTTCCTACCGACTTACTTCTTCTGACACTATTATATTGCCTTCAGGTGTTTTCTTCATTGGACATGATACTCAAAATAGGAATTTAAAGCTGAGTGGCACACATCTGTAATTCCCACATTTAGGAGACTGAGGCAGGAAGATTGTCGAGAGTTCAAGAACAGCCTAGGCTACATAGCAAGCTCCAGGTTAACCATAATTACATATCAAGAACCATCTTTAAAAATTAAAACAGGGGCTGGAGAGATGGCTCAGAGGTTAAGAGCATGGGCTGCTCTTGTAGAGGACCTGAGTTCAATTCCCAGCACCCACGTGGCAACTAACAATCGTCCATAACTCTAGTTCCAGGGGATCCAATGCAGGCATTGCACGACATGGGTATACCTACTTATATGCAGGCAATACACTCATACCCATAAACAAAAATTGAAACAAACTAAATTAATTCAGTATAGTTTCTTCTGAAAGTATATAACAAGAAAAATGCTTGATTCTGTGATAATGATTTGCCTCCATCACACAACTGGCAAGTACAGGATATAAAATATAAAATCAAGTTCCTGAGCCTTTTCTTAATCTTCTCTCCCATTAAAATTCCTAAACTAATGTAAGTGAATTACAGGGTCACAATAGTGATTGACACCAAAAAGGTCTAACTCAAAATTTCCAAGACTCTAATTACCTGCAATCCCATTTGTGATAAGTTTAAATGACACAGATACCAAAAATATTCTAGGTAACATGTACGCCAAGTGCTGAGGTACCCCACCAATGCTGGGTATATTCTGGTTCATGGACGGTTCACACTGTATCATGCTTTGTATATGCACATTCCTGTACATGTTTATATACTATTTGCATTGCACATGTTTATGTTATTTATGTTATATACAGTATCACATATAAAGAGCTTTTCTTTAGCCAACACTAGGTGTTCGTATTTTAATGTTATAAATATTTTAACTACAACACTATTCAAAAAAAGTTGAAATTCTGAACTGGGGGCAGTGGCACATGCCTTTTGTCCCAGCACTTGGGAGGCAGAGGCAGGCAGATCTTTGTGAGTTTAAGGCCAGCCTGGAATACATAGCGAATTCTAGGCCAGCTGGGACTACAGGGAGACCCTGTCTCAAAAAGACAAAAAAAATCCTTTTTAAAAGAATGAGTAAGCCAGACGTGGTGGTGCACACCTGTAGTCCCAGCACTTGGGAGGCAGAAGCAGGCGGATCTCTGTGAGTTCAAGGCCAGCCTGGTCTACATAGTGAGTTCTAGGTCAGCTGGGGCTACAGGGAGACCCTGTCTCAAAAAGACCAAAAAAAAAAAAAAGGAAAAAAAAAAAAAAGGAAAATTTCAGGTGTATATTTGCTCTTTAAAAAAAGAAGACTAAAGAGACCTGGCACAAAACAGCAGCTTTTTAGTGTTTCCTTTTTGAATTCTGGTGTTTATGCTAAACTCTTTATAACTCAGTAAGACAGCCAACTGTAAAACTAGCAAATCACACCGACACTACAAAAAGAGATATACCACTGGCAAAATGCATGAAATGAGGCTTAACAGCACTAGTCCCAGAGGAAATCCAAAATGAAGACACAAGGAAGACTAAGTAAACTATCTAAAGTAAAGAAGGTGACAGAACGGAATTTGGCAAGGACAAGATTGGTGCTCTCTGGTTGCTGGAGCTCTGAGGTTGGTGGGGAAGGGACATGCACAGTGGTGGCTTCATGCCCAAGTGAAATGAACACAGATATCCACGAAGACTTGTTTCATCATGGTCCTATACAGAAGCACTAAAAATAAAAACAAGCCAAAATGCAAACCATGACCCTGGGCACAGGCACAATGAAATGCTGTGCAACAATGAAATCCAGTGGAGACTACTGCCCTGCTACAGAGATGAAACTCAGACATAACCCAGAACAAGGAGGCCAACTCCACCTATATGAAGCTACAGAACAGGAAAATGTCAATGTCTGGTGATGGGAAGGCTGACTACACAGGGTAGAGGAAATACCCTGTATTTCACCTGGTCCAGCAGGTTACTCTACTCAATAAATCTATCAGAGGTCTACTATACAGATAAAATCCATATATTTTTATATACCATCTCAGTACAGTCATTTTAAAATTTAAATTTTGGATTTGTTATTAAATATTAAACTTTGACTATAAAATATTTATGCCTAGGCTGAAGGTCCCACGACAAGACATTAATAGTAGTATGATTTAAAATGTTAAAATAATTTTTAATGTCACACTCAGTGACGGAAGGATGACAAGAGAGCACAAACATACAAGTACTGCTGCCTGCACCCTCCCCAGCCTCAGGCAAGCATTTCCCCATGGCACCAAGTTGGCCACCCCCAGCCCTGGCCAGTTCTGCCCAGCCCACAGCCACCTCCTGCTGTCCCTTGCCTTGCTTCCTTGCATTCCTTGAGCCCAGCTTGAGAACCACTAAAAGCCCTTCCTGAGCATCCCACCCCTTTCAAACTAGCTCTTCTGGTCACCCTGTGCCTATCTTCATCACCCACGTTCACCATAGCACACTGCTGTATGTCAGCCTTCCCCATTAGAGAGCTTTTTAAGGATCTTACTCCTCTTTCAACTTCCTAGCTCAGAGTCCAGGATAAGGAAGGCCTCTCTTGTTTTATCTAGGAGGAAAGTAAGGCTTGGGGAAGTTAGATAACTTACTCGCAGCCACACAGCTCAGAAAAGTCACAGAACTGAGATCTGAGCCCAAAACCAGTCCCTCTCCACTACAGTACCGCTGAGCATCCTACTTTTATGCTGCAGACCAGGACTCCCAGAAGAGGTGCCAACTATGCTTTAAGCAGTTCTCTGGGACAAAGCAAAGTTCAGAGGAGTGTGACTGGATACTTACCTGACATGGGAAAGGGGTTTTCTTTGTGAATTCCCACAATTCTGATCTTTGTGACCTCTTTAGGGAACCATTTCCTACTCTGTCATTTTGCCCAGGACAGAATGATTCTCTTCCAGAATCTATAACTATAATATCATCTCATGCATCCTTTAATTCATCAGGGAGCCCTTTAAGTCTCTACAAGTGTACGCATGCTGAGCTGTCCACGAGGGGTGAAGAGTGTATAGCAGGAATCTAGACCTGCACACACAGGCCATGAGTGGCAACTGGGATCAGACAAAGAGCACATCCCAACAGTCAGATTCCCAATGTCTTATGATTCTGCCCCAAAGTTACCAGAAGTCCCTATCATTATGTAACTTTCACAGAAGTTAATTCCCTTATTCTAACTTTAACTGTATGAATCACCCACAGTACACACCTGGTCAACACCCACAGTACACACCTGGTCAATATTGAGGCGAAGTGGCATTAGTGACACTCTCAAACAGCACTCCTGTGGTGACCTGCCAGATTCTGGACGCACATGTAATGCTTTAATTGTCAACTACAAGAAAAAACATTTTTCCCCAATGATATAATGACCTTGTTTTCCTTTACAAAGAGAAAGAAGTAAACAATCATAGTCTCATCTAAGAACAAAAAGTGGAATTTGAGTGTGAATCCAGCCTGGGCTATACAGCTTATCTTTTAAAAAAGTGCAATTATTATATTTATCCTCTTCCCTTAAAAACCTGTCCAAATGCTCTCAAGAAAATCTGATGGGCTATGGACTCTCTTTAGAGAAAAACTGCAAATGGATGATGCTGTGGTTGCAGGCTCCTAGGAGCATGCTGAGCCCCAGAGTTGGTCCACAAGCCCACCATCCAAAGCCCACTTCTGTAAGACCTCCAGAGTCCAAAGCTAGTCACTCCTACCAGGCTAATACTGAAAAAGTCTTACAGACCTGAAACACTTTCAGCAGTCCTAACAATGTTCACATGGATTCTGTTTCACCTCAAGTAGTACTATATTGGCAGTTACAATTAGAGGACATGGTATGCAAAATAACTCAAACAGAAATCTTGAAACAGTGTATTTAATAGGAATTTCCATATTAAAATGAGAACACACAATTTTTTTCTCACATCAGTAGTTTTCCTCACTCTAATTTTTCTGCAGTTAGACGTAATAAAAACCCAAACTATGGCAGAGAGTGGGACGTCCAGTCTTACCATGTTGGAATGAGCTTTCCGGGGCATTTCTTTGCTGCAATACAGGTATAAAAACTTATTCATCTGTGATGTTGCCAGACGATCTCGGATTTCAAGGTCCTGGACAATGAACACCTGCCTTGATGCTGGATGCTCTATGAGACTAGAGCCACACTCAGGGTTGCACGGGGGATAGACTTCATGCTGAAACTTCACCTTAGCAAGAAGGACACAGCAAGCTTCACATTTCACCTAGGTTAGGCTTTCTCTTAAACAGAAACAGCACTAATCATCGCTGCCCTGGCTCACAGGACCATTTTCATACAGTCAGCTCTTCATGCATTCACTCATTTATTCAGTGCTCTCTGTGCCATCTAAACATGGCTAGGCTTTATTTGGTATGCTCTGTGTGCCTATCGTAACTACAATCACTTCTTTGACCTTAGTAAATCCCTTATCCTTTCCAAGGAAAACCTTCAACTGGAAATCAAAACAAAGCTATCATCCTGCATATCTATGAAATTGCATGAAGAATGAAGGAAGGCAGGCAAGGTTCACGGTCCAAAAGAGGACACTGATACCACCAAATATGTGGAACCATTATCACTACAGTATTCGATGGTAAACACTCTCAAGTACAGAACTTGGACATCTCAGACAAGCTGACAGGATAAACTAAACACAAATAATGCCACCAGTGCTCTGTCTTTATGGCCACTAGGTGTTTCACAATAGACAGTCCACAGGCACAATCCAAAGGCAGGCCATCCCAGACAGACAGACACTCTAGAGCAGTGGTTCCTCAACAGTCTGGGGAAAATATTCTTAGGAAAGCATTTAAGAAAAACAGGTTGAGAATTCTACACAAGATCCTTATAGTTTTCCAGTCCAAAGGGCAGAGGTATATGGCTTCAAGGCCCTAGGAGGTGAGTAAAACCAAAGATCTCCCACTGATACGCCTATTGAAGTGAATTTTTTTCCTTTCAGAACACCAACTTACCTTGCTTAACTGTATTTCCATTAAGAAGTCATGGTTCCTTCCCTTTCCCCCATGGACAGTATGACGTCCATGTCTGGTAGGTGTGTGAGAAGGTGAACAATGGGGACTACTAAAAAGGAAAAGAGAAAAAAGACAATTCTTTGTTAAAAGAATATTCAAAGAAATTTAATGAATGATATCATAAAAATTATTAAGATAAAAAGAACATTAGAGAACTACTAGGATGCTTCATCTACATTGCTATAAATCAAATCATATCATTTAGCCAGGCTTACTGGGGCAGGCCTGCAATTCCAGTTACTTAGGAAGCTGAAGCAGGAAGATCACAAGTTCAAGGCCTGCCTGAATGACAGATTAAGTTTAAGACCAGCCTGAGTAATTTAGTGAAACCATGCCTCAAAATAAACCCAAAAAGAGTAGAGACATAGTTCAGTGGTCCAGTGTCTGCCCACCATGTACAAGGTTCTGGGTTCAATCCCAGTGCCAGGAACGTCACTTATGTTTCATATACGTTGAAAACATCAGTTTATAGCTGGGCATGGTAGCACACGCCTTTAGTCCCAGCACTTGGGAAGCTGAATCAGGTAGATGTCTGTGAGACAGAGGCCAGCCTGGTCTATACAGTGCCAGAACAGCTGGGGTTACAGGTCTTTTTTTCTCAAAAAGACCAAAGGGGGGAAAAAAAAGAAGACAAAAATATGAGTTTATTACTGTCATTAGAGTAGTCATTTGCTTGCTAAATATTCAAACCTACAGAAAAACATTTATTATACTAGGATACAGGACACACTTGGAGGTAAAACCTATATTACTTTCTTTTTATCTCAGAAACCTGTCTGCTTGGAGTACAGGTCATAAAAGCCCAAGCTGACAGAAGAAAAGAACTGTAGTCAAAACAGAAACATCCCAAGGTAATGGTTAAGTAGAAAAGAGTGCTGAACTACTGTGTCAATGTTACTGCTTCATGGAGCTTTTTATGCTACACCCCCCCCCCATAAAAAATATGTGCCCCACTGTTGGGGTGGAGAATATGCTGGCTGCCTAATTCTCTCCTCACACTAGGCAACACTGAATTGTTTAATTAAAATATGCAGCTCTGCTGCACCCCTGCTAGAGGCTGGGGACTCAGGTGAGCACAAGCTCTGGCCCTGGCACCCTGGCTTCATGTCACATGATTTTTCTCTCCCTTTGAACTGAGGGCAGGGATTAGGTCTGGTTCATTTTGATAAGCAGGCACATGAGAGATACCTGAAAATGCTTGCTGAATGAAAATCATGTAAATCAACATGTTTGCAAGCTAATTGTTTATAAATATATAAACAATGCAAGCTGTTTTAAAATGGGCAACTTTAAGTGTGACATTTAAATTACACATTTTAACATTATTCATTCTTAAAATAAATTCTAGTATTTTTCTATGAACAGATATATTGTCTGTCAAATAAACTTATATGGAAATGAACTTACATGTAACTCTTAGCTGGAGAAGTAGGAGGAACAGTTCCAAAATCCTTGCCTCCATAAAGATGCCATACAAGAGAGACTTCCTTGACAACATAGCGAATCACAGGAATGGGAAAATGTAATGGGGCTTTGCTTGAATCTGTCCTTTTAACAGGCAAACTAAAATAATTGTCTCTTATCACAATCGCATCATTAACCATGATTTTTATGACTGGTTCTTCTTCCTTCTCCTGAAATAAAACAACAGGTAATAAATATTCTCATCTTAGCACAAATAAGTGGTTTATTTAAGAGATCAAGGGACTTTCTTGAGTTTAAATTCTTTTTTTTTTTCTTTTGGTCTTTTTTTTTTGAGACAGGGTCTCCCTGTAGCCCCAGCTGTCCTGGAACTCACTACGTAGACCAGGCTGGCCTTGAACTCACAGAGATCTGCCTGCCTCTGCCTCCCGAGTGCTGGGATTAAAGGCATGCGCCACCACGCCCAGCCCTAAATTCTTTTTAATAATTTCAATGCATAAAATGAGGAAATAATTTCTTTCTTTTTTGAGACAGGGTTTCACACCGTAGCTCTGGTTGGTCTGAAGCTCACTATGGAGATCAGGCTAGGCTCAAACTTGTGGTAATCCTCTTGCCTCTGCCACCCAAGAGCTGGGATTATAGGCATGTGCTACCATGCCCAGCTTGGGTGATAATTCCTGACATTAATCATCCTATAAAGAGCATCCATGCTTTATTAATCATAAAATAAACTATTACCTCATGAATAATTTTAATAGTTTACAATTTGGCACTTACTACTTGGTAATTAAGAATACACAGATTTTGTGTGTGTTATTGCTATTGTTTAAAATATCAATACTGCATTCTAAATCAAAACTTGACAAATTTCAACATACTGACAAAATTATCATGTTTCTAGCAATGTGCTTACCCTGAGTTTGACTGCTTTGCTTTTACCCCCCTCATTTTACCAGGAAGTTCTCAGAACCTACTGCACAAATACAGTCACCTACTAGGGTACAAAGAGGCTTCTCTAGGTATGTGTTCGTCGCAACCAACAATCAGTCTCACACACATCACCCTTCCTGCCTTTTACACTAGCCACTTGTTTTCCTGTTGTCCAACCGCACTCACTGGGGAATCATCCTGCCACACAACACCTGAAGTTCAGCGTCTGTGTAGAAAATCACTGGGGCTGGAGAGATGCTCAGCGGTTAAGAGCATTGACTGCTCTTGCAGAGGACCCAGGTTTGATTCCCAGCACCCACATGGTGATTAACAACCATCTGTAACTCCGGTTCCAGGGGATCCAACACCCTCTTCTGTCCTCCATGGGCAATGCATGACAATATACTCATAACACATAAAATATTTTTTAAAAAATCATGCAAATGAAGAACATTCTCTGAGCTTGTGATATGTATATATAACAGCCATTCTAAAAACCACTAAAGTAAATTACAAAACAAGGTAATTCTAAAGTGTAAGGAGTTACAGATTTTAAAAATCCCAATACCCTTTGGTCCATTTATTTTTAGAATACTATTTTTTTAAGGCTTCACTAATGTCATTCATTATTACCTGGATAGCTGCTTTTGGTGCAAAAAGAATACAAAAGTCATCATTTTCAGTGGATGCGCCTGCCGCTGCGTCACTAAGCAAGCGGTGCGTGAATGATGCACAGGTAGGACCAGGCTCCTGGGACACATTCCCACTCTCGTCTGGGAACAGGAAGAGGTCTGAACAGCACGGCTCCTGAATTTGAGACTTTTCATTGAGGACACCTAGATAGGAAGATGACAACATCTTGCACACTTGAAACACTGACAACAGCAATCTTAACCATATGTTAGACACTTAGTATGTAGAATGCTTTTACCTACATAATCTCATCTATTTCATATAAAAATGCTATGAATCAGGCTTACAAAAGGCTAAGGTAATTTGCTAAAAAAAACACTTTGGCAGGAGGCAAAAATATATCAAAAGAACAAATAAAAAGACTAATAATAGATTAGTCTGACATTCTTTTAATAAAAGAGTAAATGATAGTGCCATAAAACAGAGACAGTTACTTCCTAGTTATTCGACGTTGGAGAAGCTCAAGAATTCAGCATTGGCCCATTCATCCTAACTGAAATTTTATTTTGGTCAAGATTCTGTCCTGTGGGTAAAAAATAAGGTTCTGGAAAAACCTGACAAGTATCAGTCAGGCACGGTGGTGCACGCCTTTAATCTCTGCACATGGGAGGCAGAAGCAGGTAAATTTCTGAGTTCAAGGCCAGCCTGGCCAGTCTACACAGTGAGTTCTAGGCCAGCTGTGGCTATGGGAGACCGTGTCTCAAAAAGACCAAAAACCTGACAAGTGTCCACAGGGCTCAGTCTTGGAAGAAACTTCTTGAGCAAACTGCAAAATGAAGAAACACTGGTTGCATCCAGCTGAGGCTCACCTACAACTACAGGAAGCCTACTTGAGGTGAAGGGGGTTGGGGGGAGGGGATAGTTGCCGCCAAGTGTCAGGCAGGGGAGGCTATGATTCCAAGCAATGAAAAAGCAGCTATGTGGGGCTCTGAGGCCTCACAGGACATCTGTTCTCATGTAGTGCTCAACACATAATTCACAGAAGATAGCATTGCACCAAGATCTGTGTGTCAGCATGTATTTTACAAAATGATGTTTGGGTCTCAAGCATCTCCCAAACAAGATTTTAAACAGTCACTGCAGCACTTCAGACCTACTCACCCTCCAAAGAGTCCCATGCTTAGGGAAGATTCTTATCCATTATGGTCTCTCAGCACATATTAACTATTCCTCCCCAAGTAACCGAGACAGCTGCTACTGCTTAGTGCACAGGGCCCCAGAGGTACTAGCTCACTTCCTCAGTTATAATTCATCCTAAATTAGAATGAAGGTAACATTAATGCTAAACTTTTGTAATACCATGATTTTTTTTATATGCATGTAGCCCAGGTTGGCTCAAACTTACTACGTACCCAAAGCTGTCCTTGAACTCTGGATCCCCCTGCTTCTATCCCCCAAGTGCTAGAATTATAGGCATGTACCACCATGCCTGGTTCCACAGAGTATTTGAAAACTAAGACTTGCAATATTTAAGAACAGCTATGTTCATCCAATCAGAAAATCTAATTTTAAAATAGATGCTTCAGAAATATTTAGATGCTTCCATTTGACTTGCAAGGATCTTTAATCTTCTGGTCCTTCCCTGATTTTCCAACCTTACTGTCAAATTTTTCTCAGTAAGATGGGAACTTCTGCTCTAGAAGCAGTCTGGTAACCGCTAGCTAGCTAAGGGGCAGCTAGCTATGGCCTTCTGATGGCCCCTCCTCCTCCCTGCACTCACAGCCAGCTCACCCTGTTCTCACTCATCTCTGTTAGAATCCTGTCTGAGTAACAGGGCATGCCAGGTTATTTTCTCATGTCACCTATCAATCACTCCAAGTAGCAGCATCAACCTGTGACAATTTGTTCTTCCCAAGGTAAGGGCCACCAGAAAGCAAGTGTTGTCTCCTGCCTACATTAGACCCATCATCCTGGCCAATGTTATTTATCTACTCCACATGCAGTGAACACAAACTGACCGGCTAATAAACACCCCCCAAAATGCAGCTGTTTTCTTTAATAAGTTACTCACTGAAATGTTTTAAGAGCACAAATACTGTTAAGACTTGCTACCATAGCAGTGCTCCCAGAAAAAAGTCCCAGTCTTACCATTGGCCTGTGGTCTAACAGATGAAGAGGTTTGCTGTGCGTCTATCTCCTTCATAGCATCACTCATCAGATCCCGTAAAATCTGTTGATCTGCTTCAGGAAGCACTGGACCACAGGAGGCTGACCGGCCACTGGGATCTGCCTACAACCAAAAGGCTTAATTAAAAAGAGCTGAAGCTGGGTGCAGTGCGGTCCACTGGAGTCCCAGCTACTTGGAAGGTTAATGCAGAAAGACACTGGAACCTAGGAATTTGAGACCGACCTGGGCTACATAGCAAGACACTTTCTTAAACAAAACAAAACCCAGCGGAAAGCCACTCCTCAAAGTAGAAAGACAAGTCTATCGAGTGTGCTGCAAAGGAGCGGAGAGCAAGGTAGCGGCAGAAGTCCCTGCTCAAAGTGCCCTAAAGAAACAAACAGGCAGGCTGATTTCATCACAGTCTACATTTACAGAAATACCAGAAACAGGTTCAGACTCACTTTTCTAAATTCCCAGCAGTTGTTGTATTTTAAGTTTTAGAACAATCACTCCCACTGTAATAACTATCAACAAATAAGAATAAGCATGTACTCAACTCAGAGGCACACACAGAATGCGGACCTGCCAAGGTGGTACACTAAGACAGGGAGCTGGACACTGCTGTGCAGCAGGAAAGGGATCCTGAGTCAGCTTGAGCTGCTCAGATCTGATTGCCAAAATGACTTTCACCCTTGGAGACAGCCTCTATAAGGCAAGTCTCCTTTCTTAGACTCTTGAGGACAAAAGGCGATACACAGGAAGGGAAATCCGAATCCGAATGGCAATCCACAGGACTCAACTCCAGCACCACTACGTCATCCTTTTGGTTAGTAAATTGTGGATTCATGAAACCCAGACCATCCTTCTTGAAATGGGAGCATGGATTGAAAACAGAAGGATAGGGCTTAAGGGATGGCTGAGTTGTTAAAAGTACTGGCTAAGGAGACTGAGAACTCTGCTCACAGAAGAGGCTACGAAGAACAGTCCTGAAAAATGAAGACGCCGAACCCTGTTCAAGCTGGACAAGGACACACCTGAGTATAAAAAAGCACTGAACTTGAAACTGAAATAATATGCTGGTCGCTGTTTCTCCTACTAAGTAGGGCTACTAACCTAAATGATCTGGTCTTAACTGATCTGTTGTAAAACAGAGATAATAACCGTTGACCTCCCTCACTGGGCTGCTATGAAGGGAAGGCAGTTCTACATGAAAAGCGCCCTGAATGCTGGTGGTGGTTGTAGATGGCAGAGGGAAGAGGCTCTGGGAACAGCATCAACAAGGGATGCAGAGTTGCTCCTAGTGCCCTTACAGTTTGTGCAGAACAACTCTCATGTGAAGGTTTCCTTCCCTAAGAAAATGAAAAGAGCCGGGCGTAGTGGTGCACGCTTTAATCCCAGCACTTGGAAGGCAGAGGCAGGCGGATCTTTGTGAGTTCGAGGCCAGCCTGGTCTACAAGGAGACCCTGTCTCAAAAAAAGCACTGACTGCTCTTCCAGAGGACTTGGGTTCAATTCCCAGCACCCACATACATGATGGCTAACAACCATTCATAACTCCAGTTCCAGGGGATCTGACACCTTTTTCTGTCCTCTGCAGGCATTACATCCATGTGGTGCACCTACATACGTGCAGGCGAAACATACATACACACAAAGTAAAAATTAAAAATTAAACAGGTTCAGATATTTAAATGCAAAATGAGGAAATGTGACATACAGAAATGTTTATTCTTTGTATAGTGACAGCATTATAATTTTTTAAATTTATTTTTATTTTATGTGTATGAATATTTTGCTTACATGTACATAAATGCACCATAAGCATGCAGTGCCAGGGTAGGTCAGAAGAGGTCATTGGATCTCTTGGAACTGGAGTTATAGACAGTTGTCAGCTTCCATGTGGGTGCTGGGAACTGAACCCAGGTCCAGTGCAAGAGCAGCCAGTGCTTTTAATTGCTGAGCCATTTCTCCAGCCCCGAGCATTATAAAGTCCTGTAAGTAACAAATCATCATCCACACGAAGATATACTATAGAAACTATAGAAACCCCTTCTCCATGATCCCTTTCTGATGATAACCTGTTCCCACTCCCCATAGGTATTCACTAATCTTGCTCTTATTTTTACAGTAATCAC